GGAGAGGGAGGGGGGAGAGGGGGAGGGGAAAGGGACAGGGACAGAGTTCGTTGCTGCCAGTCCACCAATTTTCGGAGAAAAAGTGCCCACTGCCGGCACAGCTGTGTGTCAGTGTCGTGACCACGCCTGGAACGTGCAGGGTCTTGCACGGGCTTTATTCTGACCCGCAGGTCGCAGGGTTGCAGTGAAGGCTCCCTCAGTTCCCGCTGAAATCCCGAAACCAAAACACAGCCCCCACTGCTCAGCGCGGCTACTTCTCCCCCGCGTCCCGCGTCCCGAGTCCCCGTCGCCAAGCTCGGGCCCAACCATTCCTGAGGAAGCTGCCCTTTGAGGCTGCACCTGGTGGAACCACGAGAGGCCACTTACTGGTCCGGTTAAGTGGGAGACGGGAGGTGAGGTTGACGCAGGCGCCAGCGTAGCTTCGGGTGTCGAAAAAGGAGGTGCTTTCGGCTGTGAGATGACAGGACTAGGAATCTTCACCCAGTAGGTTTTATACTTCTCGACAACCGTGGCCCTGGAATGTCGAACCGGGGAGGTTAGCGGAGCCCCGACGGCGGCCCAGCACCATCAGACCCAGACGGTAAAGGGAAAAAGGAACGCCGTGGGGACACGCGACAGAGGAGGGCCACGAATTCCCCGGCTTGCAGACTACACAGGTAAAGACGATGCTACACTCGTCCCACGGGGCTGTCAGAGGGCGCGTGCAGCAGCCGCCAGAGCTAGGAGCACGAGGCTGCAGGAGCAACCCAACCGTCAGCTGTGAGTGGGGTGACACCCCCCCTCCCACGCCATGCCATGCCACGCCACGCCACGCCACGCCACGCCACGCCATGCCACGCCACGCCACACACAGGTGCCAAGCCGTGTGGCTGTGTGCCGGGCCTTCCGAACACAGTGGAGACAGGTCAGGGGGGCAGTTCTACCCTGAACATGCGCGTCCACCACACCACTCAGGACCCCCTCATCGCCCGACACGATGGCTCCTAGGAGTAGGGGGCAGGTCTCCTACCATCTAATCTGCAATCTGTAACACTGCAGAAAAAGTCATCCAAACTTCAGGGCTGGTATTTTTGTCCCCCCATATTCTCACACCAAATCTGTAAAAGTCTTAGCCCAACACGGGACAGACGCAAGGAATACTGAGGGCTCCGGTTAGCGGCAAAGCTTCATTCACTCAACAAATGCCTAATAAACCCGTTGGGAGGCGGGCCCTGCGCTGGCTGCTGGGTGTAGGCTGGCGGAAAAACAAACAAACAAGCAGCAGGACTGCCTGCGTCGCGAGGCGCTGTGACCACTGCCCCAAACCGCTCCTCGCGGGCGGCTGTCCTTCAGGGAGCGTGAGAAACGACACCGGCCATCCCCGCGTCGGGTACACGGGTTACGGAGCTGCTGCGTCTCGTCCGTACTCACAGAAACCGGATGTGACTCGGGGCGCTGCTCGGGGCGTCCCAGAAGACTTTAATTTCTGTTTTCTTGTGCGCGTTTGTGTGGCTCACGGCCGATCCCTGAAAGAAATGGGAAAGACCTACCCGCCAGCCGCTCGCGAGCTCAGGGCGGCTGGAGCCAGTCGTGATCACACCTGAGTCATTCCTTCCTCCTCAACAGCCTTATTTCCCACTTCCATTCACCCCGCGAATCCTACTCACCCTTTGGGCCCAGCTTTGGGTCAGCTCCTCCCAGGAGCCCTCTCTCCATTCCCTCGAGCCGGGTGCGGCACCCCAGGTATGTCCCCCCACCCGTGGGTGCTTCGACCCTGCATCTGCACATTGTTCTGCTCACGTGCCTGCCCCGCATCCGTGCTCTACCCATGTGCTACATGCCACGCGTCCACACGCCGAACTCAGGTCTAAGGCTATGAGCTCCTCAGGAGCCAGGAGGAAGCCTTGGCCCTGGCGGGCGTGGCTCAGCCGGTTGAGCAGCCGGCTGGGCACCTGAAGGTTCGATTTCCCGTCAGGGCCTGATCCCCAGCAGGGGGCGAGCAAGAGGCAGCCGATCGGCGTTAAACTCTCACCTCAGTGTTTCTCTCTCCCTCTCACTTCCTCTCTCTCTAAAAAATCATTTAAAAAAACATATTTAAAAAAAAAATAGTTATGTCTTGTTCATCCCCGTATCCCTCGTACCCAGGACGTTCCTGGTGTAATAAATGCTTACCTCTCTAGAACTCTACCTTCCACATTTACACCATTCGAAAACCAATAAAATAAGAGTCAATATTATATAAAATATCAAGAGCTATACACTCTTCAAGCTACTGCTCTCCCTTTCTTAAGACGCTGATGTATAAAAATATATTGCCGGTAGTAAAATTAAGGGGGGACAGATGGGTCTCTGTGAATCTGTTTAGACGCCTGCAGTACGCGGGTGATCTCGTTTATCTTGCAAACGCCGCCCTGTTGTGAGGAGACCCAGGAAACGTACGGAAACCGGTTCCCAACGAGGCACAAACCTGTTTATCTCCACAAGTCAGAAGCTGGGACACCCGACTGTCATTCAGCGTGAAGGAGCCGACGGGGGGGCCGTTCACGTCCTCGGCATCACGGGCCTCTAGGAGGAAGCCTTTAAATTCCGGCCCCGACAGAGTAACTGAGAAACAGACAGAGGCACAGGGGAGGGGAGTTAGCAGCACCCCCACGGGAAACTGTTCAGGGGAGGCGCCCGGGAGGCGCGTGGGACGTGGAATCCCGTGGTCACGGCCACGCTGCCCCGGAGAGGACACAGCAGAAACCGTCCCCCAGACCAAGTTCCAAACTGGGTTCCACGGGACGCTGATCCCGAGATGCGACCGGCATCCCCGTGGGAAAAGGTAGGCGACGGTCAGGCTCCGCGGCCAGACTCGTTTGGAAAACGCCGGATGAAAGTAAACACTCGTTTCTTTCCTGTAACCCTCGGGGTCCTGCCGGGTGGCATGAGACTCCGAGAGCTATCACTGAACACGTAACACGGAGCCTGTTAGCAGTTTGCATTTCTAGAGTTGCAGAAAATGGAGTCTGCAAGGCGCTATTCTAGACGCACCTTTAACAGCCAGCCTGCGCCTTGCGGAACGACCGAGGCACCGTGAGGTCACGTTTACCAAGAAGGTCGGGGAAAGGGGGAGAAAAGGTAAAGGTTTATTATGTCTTAAGCCAGATAAAATAAACTGTATTTGCCCTTCCTGGTGAGTTAGTAGTATTGTTAATGAAGACGTTAAATATGATAAAAGCGTATTTTAGAACCTGTCCTGAGCGGGGCGGGGGGGGCACATTACCCGAGCCACAGAGTCACCCACAGCAGCTAAACGCAAAATCGGGAGGCGCGGGGTTAGGGTGATGGCGTCTTACCAGGATCCACGGTGAAGGGATTCCCCTGAAACTGAGAAACTCCAGTGGTAATAAAAATTCGATGTACACTAGAAGGACAAGACCCAAAACGTAAACCGCAAAGCCCAGCGAGGTACCTTCGATCCGGTCCCCCGGCGAGAACGTCGTCTGAGTCGCGGAAATGCGGTGAATGGGAGGATCGGGGCGGGCGTCGTGGTTGTGCTTAGGCGTCATGTCCTGGCAGGACACCGCCACTCTCCCGTCGGGGTAAGCAGCCACCCAAAGGACATGCGACAGGAGCAGGAAGGCACCGAGGGCGAGTCCGGGGGCCGCCATCTCCAAAGCAAGGTTAAAGCACCTTATTTTCTGATGTAATGAAAATGAAAGATGTGAGCTTCCGCACCACAGGGCAGTAATTCTAGAGAACTACTTGCTTTCAAGAATCGGCTAACCGCCCGGCCGGTTGTTCAGTGGTTAGAGCGTCGGCCGACGGACTGAAGGGTCCCGGGTTCGATTTCGGCCATGGGCACTCCTGGCCCCAGTCGGGCAAGTGCAGGAGGCAACCAACCAATATTTCTCTCCCTCCCTCTCTCTCTCCCCCCCTCACTTCTACTCTCTCTGAAAAGCAACGTAAAAAAATGTCCTCAGGTGACGATTAAAAAATAATAATAATAAAAATAACCAGCTAACCAAAGTCTCAGAAAACGTAATACAGTAGAAGGGAGATGCTGCTGACGTCTGGCCGGGGCTGGAATCCCAGCTCCACCACCCGAAGGCCCTGAAAGCCTCGGCCCCGCTTCCTGTCGGGTCGGCTTCAACTCAACCGCACGTCCTTTCACGCTGACCGGGTCCCTTCCCGGGACATCTCAGCGTGAGACCCTAAATCTGACGCCAACATTCGTGTCCTGTTCACGCGACATCATGGCCCCCTCCGTGGACAGGGCAGGACGTGGAAGGGGAGCGAGTCCGGGGGGGACCCACGTCTCACGATGATCGGTGTGAGTGGGGGGCCAGCGGCGACCAAAGCTGACGTCTACATTCGCCGGATTCAGGATGTCGAGCCCGCCGGCCGGGCCGGGAAGCAAGGCCGAGGCTCCTTTCCTGGAAGCAGAGCTGCTGAAAGCAGGGAGGTTCGATTCCCAGACTGCGACTGCGCTCCGCAGAGCACTGCAAGGGGCCGATACATTGTAACTGCCTTTACTTGCTGTCGCTACTAAGTTCCCACATCCCCAGCGGGCTGATGTCACCTGAACACTGCTGTGGTCAGACACCTGGAATTTTCAAGTCGTGTTTCCTTCGGCCTCGAGTAATTTGTTCAAGCCTTCTCAAATAGTTCAGAAAAACTTGCTCCCCGGTTTTCCGGCGATTTATCTTGACCTTCATAGAAAACTTCCGTATCAAGAATCGAATTGAGTTTGATCGCTGAAGCTCAAATGACAGGGAAACTGAAAAACAGGTCAGTGTTTCCACTTCCCCCGACGGAAATGTTTCCAGCTCCATTGTCACAGTGGGAAGCGAAGGGAAAGATGTTTTTTTTAAAAATTAATAACTGGATTTGTCAGGGCGGAAAAATAATGTTCCTTCTGCCCTTCGAAGTTCTTCCAGCTGGACTAATAATGAAATTAACAGGAGACGGATTCGCAGGAGGAAGGCAAATTAAACTGCTGTACACACGGGAGAGATCCAGGGGCGCTGGGTAGCCGGTCATTTTGGTGGAAGCCGTCACCCTAAATACCAGCTAAAGACAAAAGACCTGCCCTGAGCCTGTCCATTGTCCTTCTGCACCTACAACAGCATGCCTGGGAATGTCAGAGTGACCCCCCTTTTTCCAGACCCCTCAGGGCACAGCCTCCCACAGGTCAGACCGAGGAACCCCTCACTGTTCTCTGTGTCCTGGGGACAAAAGGGGGCCACACGCGAACCTGACAAGCTCAGGGGAGGCCTGCGTGGCGGCCTTGCAAACCCAGAGGCCTAAAGTAACCACAGAGGATGGTCGGAAATTAAAACTTTTTATCTAAAAGCAGTTTATGGCAGTTACTCTTGTCCTAGGCTGGTGTCTTCCCTCACGAAGGTCAATCTTTACCTGGACAGGGCCTGTCTATGGTCTTTTGCGTCAACATAACATTCTTTTGGAAAGTCAGGGCCAATTCCCTTTTCCTGACCCCTCGGGGCACGACCAACGCACTGGGGCAGAGACCACAAATCCTCTCATTGATATTTTTATCATGTTAATTGCTGGCTATTAACTATCCTGTACCCACCAGCGTAAAAGATGTATCACTTCTCTTTTTACCGAATCCCAGAGGCTTTCCCCCGCCTCCCTAATCTACCACCAGTGGGCCCCTTACGTCTCCTCCTTGGATTTAAACGTACAAAATAAACTGCAAAACTGCCGTCCTCTGGAGCATTTTCTCAAATCTGTTGAGAATCTGCTTCCCGGCAACTGTCAGTTCGGCTCAAATAAACTCATAAAATTTCTTTACAGGTTTGCATGTGTCTTAGGTCGACTATCTAAAATGCCATCAACTGCTGTGCCCTGTGAGACAGTGAACAGTGTGGGCGAAGAAATCACAGATTCGGGCTGAACCCAGCCGGCCACCCCCCCTCCCTGAAACCTCCGCTCGGTGCCCACCACAAGCAGGTCTTCCGTTGAAGGTCGACCTGAAGTCTCCCCTAATCCCACCAGCCCGATGGAACCACCCTCTTCTCAGAGACCCCCCTGCCCCCCCCAAAATGCTTTGCTTTTTGCCAGTAAAGAATCTTATCCCACTTTTCTCCCACAACCGGCAATGTGTCTTGGTGGCTTTGGGCAAGTTCCTGGAGGCGGCATATGTATCCTGCACCGATCCCATTTCACAGCCGCCAGCAGACCGCCGGGAAGCAGCGCTGGAGCGACTGGTAGAGCTCACCACA